GAGTGTTGAAGAGTAGAGGATTGTTTGAAGCCCAAGCAAACCATGAAATCCACCATAAAACCAGAATTTGTCCACAAAATGCTCTACTGAGCTCCTGTAGGATTTGAAAAGAAGGATTTTTTGGAAGTTGCTATCACTGAGACATGTGATCAATGGAAAAATATACTTCCAACAGTTGGACAAATTATTTTTACAGTGCCTTAAATGAAAAATACCTATCATACCTGAATTGTGATAGGGGTTGTATTTCATCATGACAACAGAAGACTCCAGTGGCCAACAATGAAGAACGGGGCAATAATGTTCTCCATTGATTATTCTAATATATTACAGATTGACAATCAATATATATATGTTCTAAAAAGTAACAGAATTCTTTCATTGACAACTGACATTGACAAAACTTTTGCACTCAGCCAATAACGTTTAATAATTATTTACTGAAGAATGTTAATTTGTTATAAATAGAAAATCTTTAAAAAACTGGATTCATTTAGAAAAAAAACAAAATAGTTCTTTTAAGGAATTCTACATTTTTTAAAATAAGAAGTTTGTTTATGGAATGTATGTTTAAATTTTGTTTGCATGGTGTAATTGTAACTGTAAGTTAGTAGCCAATAGTTTTTGAGAAGTAAAGATAAAGGTAATAGATAAAAACTAAGAGATGAGCATTATTCGTGAGAAAAATTTTTAATACAAATTATTTTTAAATTAGTTAAAGATTGAAAAATTATTATTATGGCACAAAATGAAGTATACAAACACTAAAATAGTAAATAGGAGATTTGAAAGAAGAGTTCAATTATTTATGTTAAAAATAAACTTGCATGGACATATTAGATACAGCATATTTTTTATTTGAACAACCAGTGTTTTTATGAAATCTTATATTTTATTGCTTTTGATTTTTTAGGGTGATTATGGTGATATTGGACAACCAGGTTTAGATGGACTTCCTGGTCTTGCAGGTCCTCCGGGCCCAAAAGGAGAACAGGGAGATGCTGATTTTGGATTGCCTGGATTTCCTGGGTCAAAAGGATATCCAGGACTTGATGGATTATCTGGTATAAAAGGTGCAAAAGGTAAATAAAGGAAGTAAATAGTGAAATTGAAACTTAATTCTATAATTTAATTCTTTGTAATTCAAGTTACCATGACATAATGCTTTGAGTATAAACTTCTTAATGATTTACATGCATGAAAATAATTCAGGTTTCAGAAAATGAATGTCAAGTTTTAAATTTAATATATTTTAAACTTCTTTGAAGAATAAAAACATGTGAAAGATAGTTTAGAAACCTAAAATAGTTTAAACAACTATGGAAGTATTCAAGTATTCTTTAAATTTTAAAAGTTTATTTCCAGTCTTGTATACAAATGGTTTTCACAAAATGATTTTAATATGCCAACAGCTCAGTTAAGACTATAAGAGCAATTTCGTTCATGCTCCATTATTTTTGCAATTAAAAGTTTAAAAATATTCTTGCCGTATTCTAATGACTTGTTGAAATTATACACTCGTTTGTGAAAATTGCAACACCATGAAGGACTTACGCGAGTGAGCTGAAATTTTCAGGAAATGCAAAGTAGCGCATGATATGCAAATGATTAGAATTGCAAATCCGTAGCGCATGCGTATGCTGAGCAGCGCCCTCTGAACGGCTGATGGATCCGAATAAATAGACGGCTGTAGCGAGGATGTATGGTTATCTGTGGTTAACTTTAAACTCAATCTGTACTTATGCCTCGTCGACGAAAGAGAGCGATTTGAACAACTTACAGAGTTTGAATGAGGGAGAATCATCGGCCTTCGTTGAAGCTGGATTGTCGTATCGTGCAGTAGCCTCTCGTGTGCAGCGTAACAGCAGCACAGTGATGCGCGTTTGGAAGCAGTGGACGGACGAGTGTCGGACAACTCGGAAATCCGGGAGTGGACCCCGAAATGTGACGTCAGCTCGCGATGATAGACACCTGGTCTGCATGGCGCGGACGGACCGTACAGCTTCCTCTAGACAATTGGCAGCACTGTGGTCAATAGCTACAGGTGTTTCATTGTGTGCTTCATCAATTCGTAGACGTCTGCTGCCGTGTGGACTGCGCGCACGGACTCCTTTATACAGGATCCCCCTAACACACGACCATCGTCGCCTGCGGCTACAATGGGCCAATCAGCATAGAGACTGGCGTGCTGATTGGCAGCATGTCGTGTTTTCTGACGAATCCTGCTTTAATTTGTGGTACCATGATGGCCGCATTCGTGTCAGACGCTATGCCGGTGAACACCACCTTCCGGAGTGCATTATCGAACGCCACAGTGGACGAACACCTGGAGTTATGGTCTGGGGCGCCATAGCATATCATAGACGATCTCAATTGCTACGAATTGTGGGCAATCTGAACAGCAACCGGTATATCCGTGAAGTTCTACAGCCCGAAGCTGTTCCCTTCCTTCAAAGCTTGCCAGGCGCTGTATTTCAACAGGACAATGCCCGCCCTCATACTGCTCGGATTGTTAAATCCTTCTTTGCAGCGCAGCAGGTACAGCTTCTTCCTTGGCCTGCGTGTTACCCGGATATGTCGCCAATTGAACATGTGTGGGATGTCATTGGTCGGCGTCTTGCTCGTGATCCTCGTCCTGTTGCGTCTGCAGACGAACTCTGGGTACGCGTACAAACGATATGGAATGCTCTTCCTCAGTCAGACATTCAAACTTTGTTTGACTCCATGCCACGTCGTGTAGCAGCACTTATTGCGGTGCGTGGTGGCCACACAAAATACTGATTCTGATCTCTTGTTCTTGTTTGTTTGCTTTGAACATTTAATCATTTATTTGTACCACTACCACTCAACTGTGTATTAAATTGCATTCAATTATGACGATTGGTGTGAAATTGGTGTGACGATTGGTTGAAAATTGGTGTTGCAATTTTCACAAACGTGAGTGTATAATCAAATACATATTTGAAATGAATTATTAATTACTTTGAAATAAATAGTGTTATTGTTATCAGATGCTATACATATTGGCTCACATGATGTAAAATCTGCATGCTATCCAATATTTCTAGTGAATAGTTTTAAATTCTTCAGTGCAAGTATGCAGTTTAAGCGATTTGCTATAACCAGTTAAGCATATAATACTATATGCATTTAGATGAATCAGATAAGTTAAAGATGAACCCAAACACTTCTGTAAATAAGTAGAAACCTAATTTGGTATCTGCAGTATTATGAGGAAAACCTGAGGTGCCAAAGATGCTCTTATTCAGAGCATTTGAAGTTTTCTACCGGACGAGTCCAGGTATTCTAATTCAAGAATTCAAGTGCCATTTCTCTCCCCCCCCCGTATGGTTATCACTATGAGCTCTAAGAATGAAAATGTTATTTTGATAGTTATTGTAGGATTCTGTAAATAGTATTGATGGTAGTTAATGTAGGATTGCGGGGCTTGTTTGAAATACATAATAAATATATTTAAAGTCTGTTACTCAATAAATGGTAATTTCCAGGATTATATAAGCATTAGTTTGAGAACTTGTCTACATTCTTGCATTTATCGCTGGGTTTAAAGCAGCTACTTAAAAGTTGATAATATAGACGAATGTTATAATTAGTAGCAAACTACCTGATTTTCTAATTTTTAATTGATCCCATATTTCTTAAAGATATTTCTTATTAAAAATATGTAAATAGTAAACTTCCTCAGTATGCATTTACACAATCAAAACAGATTTTACCAGTGAAGAAATTGTTCACAAAATATCTTATCCCAAATATTAAGTATAAAAAATCCTTACAGGAATTAAATGTCTTTATCGCCAAAATTTTATTGCATTGCAGGAAACATACTGTTACGAAATGTAAAGGCGTGGTGAGACGGCTTCCCCGCAAAGCAGTTTTAGGGTTGCCATAAATAGCAAGGAGGGCAGGGTTGCCACATTTGGCGAGAAATCGCCCGTTTGGCGACAGAATTGGCGATATACTATGGGCTGTTGGAGAACCTTCTGGAACAAATTCTTACCGGTTTAATCCAGAATGTTCCCGAACACAAGCCGAAAGCTATATAAACCCTGCTGGCCTGCAGTCAGTAAGTGTGTGCTTCATCGAGAGAGAAAGTATGTCTCTCATCGAGAGTGTGTGTGCCTCGTCTAGCGATTCAATCCCTGTGGAGTCGATCGAGTTGACAGCCGAGCAGCGAGTGCCAAGTGGGTCACCGAGTCCACTGAAGGAGTCTCATAGAGTATCGGTGTTAGTGCATCGTCGAGAGAGCATGTTGAGCTCCGGAAATGACTGAACCCAGAGTCAGGAGCCGTACTCTGTGTGTCGTCGAGTGCATCGCGAGTTGTAGCGTGGAGAGTCTCGAGAGTACGTGGAGTTCTGAGAACAACCAAGCAGAGTCGGCTGCTTTGCAGGAAGCTGTCTCCACTGTGATAGCCTGATAACCTGAAGGCTGTGTCACTGATCGGATCAGCGTGTTTATAGTAGTTCATCGACGACTGTAAAGCGTGTTTTGGAGCTATCCTGATAATATTGGCTAAATAAAGTGTGTTCGATACTTCGTCAAGTAGTGTCATGATTATTCACTCCAAATCCACACGAACCCCGTACGAACGCAAAGGAAGAAAATAACGTAACAACTGGTGTCAGAAGAATTAAAGGAAAAACGTAATAATACTTTATATTTTAAAAAAAGTTTTTAATTTTGTTATTTAGTTTTTTAATAAACTTGTGTAGCCACAAGTCTGAACTTTGTTATTCTGTTTAGTGTATAACTAATACAGCTGTATCTACTATAAATCCTCAATTTTTTTTAATTGTTGAAAGTTTATATTTTTGTATATTCATATGTTTGCATAGTATCTAAAATGAAATGATCTTTCTGAAAAATCACTTTATTATTATTTAGGTGATAAAGGTGAACCATATGCTTATGATATGCTTAAGTTGATTAAAGGTGCTAGTGGACCACCTGGGCCTCCAGGAGAACCTGGCTTACCTGGACGTCCTGGTGCAGAAGGTAATACTTGCTGAATGAAATTTTAATATGAAAACTACTTTTATGTGTGAACTATGCTTATTAACTGAAGCAGCTTTGGATGAGTGTGCAAATTTTGTATTTTAGCCATTCGCTGAACATGCTGAAATCATAATAGATTTCATATAAAATCAGAAATCGTAATAGACTCATGATTTGCATAATATGTGTCTTATGTAAATTCATAGTTACATAAGTACATGCTACTACATAAATTTACTGTTGTGTCGCCTGACAGAAATGACATTAGCAAGATTAGAATCGGTGGATGATGCTAAACAATTTAAGAATGTTAACAACCATATCCATTCAAGTATATCTGATTACAAGGCCATTTATGATAACAATTTAATCTAGACATGTTTGTGAGAATCTGCTGATAATGTGAAAGTGACAATTCTAACTAAATTCCACCAATTACCAAAAATATGCTCATGCTGATTGCTCAAAACTTTGTTGTTAATGCTCTTATTTCATGTCAGTCTTGAACACTTGCAGTAATACGTATTGAGAAAGTGTTATCAATTATGATATGAAAAGTGGGCATTACACCATGATATGCCTATCTAAATATTGCTGCTTCTATTCAACAATCTGTTATAAAATGTGGTATTAACCATATCACTGCCTGCTTGCAGTTCTGACATTGCTCTGTGCAACTTTTGATCCCATACTTTATACAGAGAGAAGCTCTAAAATTCAGTTTTAATTGGGAAATTATTTCAGCTGTACAAATTTCAATGAAATGGTTTCCTTAAAATGTCTTTGCCACCTGTTTTGAAAAGTGAGCTGAATAAAAAAATCATTGTGTATCATTTGAAAGATGATACTTTTAAAAAGAATAATATATTTTTTCTGTACTTAAATTTCTGAATTTTCTTTGATTTTACTCGTTGTCTTTTATGAGCTGCCTTTTGTATTATGTGAACGATAGAATGAAGACTTTAGAAAACTTAAGTCACAAATTTTGCAAATTCTTATCTATCTCTTATTGAAGAACTTCACCATTTTGTTAACATCTTTTCATCATATCATAATTAGCAATGAATAAAATTAACATTGTATTAATATTTTTAAGGCATTTTTTTAGTCAATGAAACCTTCTTTACCTTATACAGTACAAAGTCCGTAATCCGGACTCGTCGGGACTTTGGCAATTCCAGATTATAGATCATCAGTTTAAATCTGGTAAGATGGCATGCAGAAATTATAAAATTAAAAATATGAAACTGTAATTTATGAAATAAAGAACAATTATGATCTAAAGGGTATCAAAATATACAAAAAAAAAAAAATATTAAGCTATAATAAATAAGCTTATTTGTATTACTTTATTAAACATTTCTTTCAATGTAAGTTGTTTAAGTTGCTTCGTGTTTTGTGCTAATACTTTCTCTTTAATTCTATAAACAGACAAAAATTCTTGTTCAGTTACAAAGTTCCACTGTTCAAGTCCTGTAATTGCTGTGTCGAGAATACTGACTAACTTGTCAATAGAATTTTGTTCATTTTCAATAACCTCTCTGTCACTTTCTTCACTATCAGAAGCGATGCATATTATATTCAGTTTATAATGTTTCAAATCCATTCTTAATTTTCATTATTGTAAACATGTAAAGGAACTAAATTTCATTAGCAGTTACAAGGAACTAGTGAATCATACACTTAGTCAAAAAACAAAAAATAGCACAGTTCTGTTCTAACACTATTTTGACACAAAATCGGAATTTTTTTTGGAAATAATATATTGATTTTTTTCAATATTTTTGTTTCTGCGCCTCGATTTTCCTCAATATTAATTTAATTTGGTTGATTTATTAATATCTTTTTTTATTTAACTTTTCTTTCAGAATTCAAAATTTAGGTTCAGCCTGAATAAAATTTACACATTTTTTATGATTTATTTTTAAAATTTGTATTTTTAAATAACTTTTATAAATTTTTTGAAAAATATTTTGAATTATTCCTGATTATAACTTTGTACCATCATTCTAAAGTAGATGTATTTCTGGGCATACCTGCAAAATATTAGAGTTTTTTAATTCAAAATTTTATATGTAAATTTATATATTAGTGCATCCTGAAATTGAGCATATTTGTTATAAGACATAATAATGCTAAATCTGGTTTGCTCACTTTGTTGTAATCTCCAGTGAATTGCAACAGTTATTTTGAATGTTAAATTTCCAAACAAAATTATACTGAGGATTATTCATGGGGAATTACTTTATCTTCATTTTTGTTAAAAATGCCTAATAAATATTTATTAGTAGCACATGAAAAGCTATTTTGTAAATTTATGAAGAATATTTATTAAAAGTTTAAAGCTTTTTTTCCATAATATTTAGTTTTTCTCTTTGCCATTTTATCATCTGCTATTTTACTTGACTTTGTTTTATGTGCGATGAAATTTATTTTGCTGATTTCAAAATTATGTATCATATACAAAATATATATTTAATACTTGAGTATGTCAAACAATATTTCAAAAATATAAATTAAACATATGTCTTCATCAACAGAAATGTTTAATGACAACAAAATTTACTAGAATATAAGATTTTTAATCTTCTTTTCTGTGTAGCAAAAGCAACAAATAAATATTATTTTAAGACATTTTTTATGTCCAAAGATATTTTGGGGCCTTTATTGCATAGTAAATTTTGGTACTTTTCCGTTTCACTGGCACAAATCTCACCAAGCTGACTTTGTTGGTGACAGCATACACTATACACATAAAAATGTTAACATATGTTAGTTCTAAGAATTTTTTGTTTTGATGTGCTTTGATTTTAATATGGTTTAAAATTTTGTAAAAAGCAAATAAATAAAGACAATAAATTTGTAAAAGACATTAATTTAAGAATTTACTATGCTTTCATGGTTCAACATCCTGATTCGCCGGTTCTTATCATGTGACTCCAAATGATCTCATCTCACATAAACTATGCTACAAAAATCTAATTCTCTCAGTAATTATCTACATTAATTTCAAGTTAAATCTTAATTTGGAATAATAGTTTAAATGCAAGAATTATTTCAATTCATACGAATAGCTTACTCAGAAATTATGTAAAACTGCAGTGCTTTATTTCGCTAGTGCATTCTCATTAGAATTGATGAATTTAACCCTTGATTTTGCCTTTTTATATTTTCGCCTTCCGGTGAGCAGTGTGATTGCATCCTAATTGACTTAATTACCGTGAATGGTCTAAAGGCATAAAATGTAATTATTTTGTAAAAATTCTATGTAATTGTATGCCAGTATTGAAAGAAACAATCAATCCGATAAGAAATGGCTGCAACTTGTTTTGAAAATGAACCGTAAAAGATTACCAGCGAAGATATTCCATTTGGCATTAGTTGTACCGTTATTGGCGACTTTATCGTTTGTACCGGCAAAATGGAAACGTACCTAAATTTCTTAAGCCAACTACTGTTTATATTTGAAATGGTCTCCAATTATCATCAGAGATTTTTTTTTTTTTTTCTTTTTCTTTTCTTTCAAAAAGCAGCTGAGAGGTATTTACTTTTAAGATCATTGTTGCAGACGTCATGCATTCTTCTACGATATGTGAGGTTCCAGTGTATGGAGTATTTTAGTAAGTAAAACGGTGTAGTTTGCATGATAGTCTTTGATTGCCTTCAGGTGGATAAAAAACTTTCATTAGCTTTAATATATTATTTGACTATCATGTGGTCACAAAACATTTGTGGGGGACAATGGAAATAAGCCTACAAGCATCACCAAAGTGCAGCGCAATTATGTTCTGTGCTACAAATTTTGTGATTGCATATCCCTTCAAACTGCTGCCAACAGTTTTCTCACTTCATATCTTAAATAATAAGGACATGGAGTCACTAAGAACATGACTCAGTTGCTGAGAGCTTGAAGAGGGAATATTATTTATTATTATTGCATATTCATTCCATGACCTTTTTTCCTCACTGTGTATTGATGTTAATAAAACATGATTATAATGTGTATTAAAAGAACTGTGAGACAGGAACATCATCATTATGGACATTTAATAGTTTCACTTGTTTATATACCATTTGAAAATATTCTGTAATTTAAAGTTTCAAAAATCTAACCCATTTACCCTTTTCCAGATATTTATGTTCAGATATTGATTTGAGTTTGTTAATTTTATAATAATCCTTGTAGGCAAACCTGGGTTTGCTGGTCGTAATGGTTTACCAGGAATGCCAGGAAAGAAAGGAGAACCGGGTTTCCCTGGCTCATCACCTCGAGGTGAGCCTGGTCTGAAAGGCTATCCAGGTCTTCCTGGGGATACTGGCCGTCCTGGGTTTCCTGGACCTAAAGGAAAAAGAGGGGAAAATGGTCTTTTAGGTTTTCCAGGAGGAAAGGTGATTTCTTTTTTGTGTATTATAATTCAGGAATTGTTTATTTCTTTCTATCCCTTATGCACAAACTTATTTTTATAAGAAACCAGTAAATTTTTAATATTTAAACTTTCCGTGATAGATGGATGTTTTCAAAAATGGGATTTAAACTTATTAATTTATTTTATTAATCAGTCTGAAAATTTTACAATAATTCTTTTATTTTATAGTTATTATACAAGCAGTACATTTTGTAGTTAATATACAAGCATATATTTTACCAGTGGCTAAGTTAATGAAAATACTGAGTACCGGTCGTTTATCATGGATTCAAGACTGCATGGGCCTCTGATGTTTTGCCTTTGCGCTATATGAAAAGACATTTTCTTTGAAAAATCCTCTATTAACCATACCGTATGAGGCAAAATAGCTTTAATATGCTTTTTCATAAATATTTAACCAACCTACCTAAATATATAGGAAAATGCGTAAACAAGCGTAGTATATGCACTACCTGACTGAAAAAATGCCACACCATGAAAGAGTGTAACTAAACTTTACACATACTAGAATAAATAGAGCAGTCTGTGCAAAACCTAATATTTAGATACAAAGGACAAAGTCTGAAATCCGGATGTCCAGTATCTGGAATGATCTAAATGATTTAAAATCAAGACATCCTGATCACAAGCATTTTTTTCCTTTAAGAATTTTTTTAAATGGAAAAAGAATTAAATTCTGAGAGTAGCATATGTTTTATGCATTATCAGTAGATTGTTTTTAATAATAAAGCGTCTAAATAGTCCCGATTTTACATTTCACATTTGGCTGTAAATAAAACACCTCAAGGTTGAACAAAAACAATCATTTATTAACATAAATCTGTGCGATTAATAATTTGCTTCATAGCTGCTTCATTATTGAGCATGCATATAAACTCTAAACATCCTGTCAAAGTTTATCATTGAGTTTATGCTTCTGAATATCAACATTAAGTATATGTGAGAAACAGACATTAAGTATAATAAATAGCAAAACTAGTATAACTCAGACTTAACTTCGTCAGTGGGGAATAGGAGCTAGGCAGATTTGAGTGGAGTGACATGTCTTTACTTGCTAATATCATGATGAATCACCAGTAGTGTATAGTGGACACTCGCAATGCTTTATGGTGATAGCTGCGCATTTGAAGGTTTTCAGATATCTCAAATTAAAAAAACCGAAATATCCAGTTAATGGAACTGGGAAGAATCCCCCCCTCCCCCAATGACAGACACTAGCTGTTATAGGTGTTGGCTACTACCAAGGCTGGAAGCACTGGTCATTTCATTATGGAGGCACTAATAGGTGGACCACCATCACCTCCTTTGAAGAGACAGACAATTTACATCCCTGCCTTCTCTAAGATAGGTTGTTGAGAACAAAAATATTTTGATTGACAATTTAGTGGGAATTTTCAACATGGTAATTATTGGACTTTGTTAACTAAACAAGAGAGTATGTCTATCTATTAAATTAAAGAGAAACACAAACTACTTACCTTGAAAGAAATGTTTAATAAAGCAAGCAAATAACTATTGAGCTTTTTTGGTAAAATTTTTATGCTCTTAAAATCATAAATGCTTTTTCATAACTTCTGCATGTTATGTGACTAGATTTAAACTAAGGATTTAAAATTCAGAAAATTAACATATATAGTCATGGAAGTCCTGAAGCGTCCGGATTCTCAACTTTGCACTCTACACACTGTCAGTAAGATATTACAATCCCATTTTTACCAATGTATTTTTGAACATATCATTGGATAAAACTAATGAGTATGTGAATCATGCAGCATGTTGTGTTTGTATGATATCACACTTCATCTTTGTGGGAAAAAGTGAGGTATTCAAGAGAACAGGCTGGCCAAGGACAAACTCACACACCTAGAAATGTGGGATAATTCAAGTTATTGTTAAAAACTTTGTATAATGTAACATGAAAAGTCTGAACAAAGTAAAGCTCTGCTGGAAAATAAGATTACAGGAGCAAGTCTATTTAACATTGAAATAATGGTTATCTCGCTAAATCAGCAAAATACATCACCTTGTTTACATAAGTAGGACTTCCTGTCCAGGGATTGTACTGCCCATCAGTGTTACAAATTTTTATATAGATAGATGATTTTAGTGCAGTTATATGTGAAATTGTTGTATTTTTTCTGTATAATGTAACATGAAAATCTAGAGAAGTGAAGCTTGCTGTAAAAGTAATAATAATACAGGAATAATGCACAGGAAATACAGGTAAAGTCTATTTAACATTAAGTAAATAGCTATCTCACTAAATTGGCGAGCTATAGTCATGTTGGCAAGGGTTTTGGCAACTAATTTTTGTTGCCAAATTTGGCAAGAAATCATTAAAAGTCACCTTGCTTGGTGAACATTTGGTGACATTTTGGGCCAGTCCCTGTATAACTGTAATGAGAATTATAATTGTAATTGATATTATAACTGTAATTGATTCTCTACGTAGCCGTAATGAGGTCCTCATATGCCTTCTAGTAATTTTAAGTAGCAGAAAATACTAGAAATATCTTAGTGGCTATAAGACCGGAGAAAGCATCTGGTCTCAGTTGTTAGTTTAACATGAGTCAGAGTCCTGAGTTATCTCTAGATTAGCTTTGCTCTTTAGATGTGCGTTGCATTGCATTGCATTGCATTGTGTTCAGTGTTCTGAGTAGTTTCTAGTTAGACTACTGTTTATAATCTGTAATACTATGAGGAGGAGTACGACTGCTTTTTCGGAAAGTTCCAGAACTCTGAAGTGTTTCTTTTGATAAAATAAATTTTAGCATCGCAGTGGCCATAACAGTGGTAGCCGAAATTGTGGACACTTTTGGAAATTTTTATGTTTTTGAACTTTGTATGCTTGTAGGAAATGTTACGTTTCACAAAATGCAACTTGTATATATCATTTTAAAGAGAATTTATTACTGAATTCAATACAAAACACAAAATTCAATTATTTGCAATACAAAAAAGTTATATGTACTTCAATATAAATAAAAAAACACAGTTATGAAGTGGTTTGTAATGTCTAGCTTTCCTGGCCAATCACTGTTCTTGTTCTGAGAACCAATCAAATGTTAGTAACTGCCAGTAGAAGCTGACATCATGTTTACACTTGAAACAATTCATTATTTTGCTTTGTTCTGTAGAAGGAGGACCTGTTTCTTATACACTGCAATTGCAAGTAGGAATTTTTGTAAAATTTTTAATATTTAGTCAAGAAGCAATGACATCAAATGAAAGAGTAGTTGGGCACCTAGAAAGAGATGTAATATTATTTATGTTACGAGAAAGTGGTCTTTCCTATGCTGAAATTGCAAGACAGGTGGGTGGTTCAGGGACTACATCTGGAGTCCAAAAGTTTTGTTTACGATATCAGGAGACAAATTCAATAAAAAAACAAAGAAGGAAAAGGCCGAAAAAGGTGCACCACATCTATTGATGACAGAAGAATAAAACAACTATGTCTCCAAGATAGAAAAATGTCATCAGCGGCCATCAGAAGTGATCTGAATGATGCTGGTGTTTCTGTCAGTTCAAGAAAAGTCAGGAGAAGATTAACAGATGTTGGACTGAGAGGTAGAATTCCACGAAAAAAAGCCTTATCTTTATTTTTAGCAACGAAAAAAAAAGACTACAGTGGGCAAAGGAACACATTAATTGGACAGATGATCAGTGATCACAAGTTATATGGAGTGATGAAACTAAGATATCGTTATTCGGTAGTGATAACTCAAGAATATGCAAGACATAGGATAGGAGAAGAGCTAGATTAGATAGTGATGCAATCATCACTATTTAATGTATATCGATAACTATTATCGTTTAACTTTTTTTGTATTGCAAATAATTGAATTTGTGTTTTGTATTGATTGTTATTGGTCTTATCGGCGAATAGCTCGACGTTTGAGCAGGAGCGATGCCACTATTAGACGATGTTGGCAGGAATGGGTGAACCATGGTCGCACACAGCATCAAGAAGAAAGCAGTAGGCCTAGAGAAATGACAGAACGTGAAAATTGAGCAATCGCCAGAGTGGCACTCACAGCACCAGATGCATCATTATCATCAATTGCACGGGCAACTAGTGCTTCAGTGACCACAAGGACCATTCATTGACGGCTCACAGAAAGGGAGCTGAGGTCATGGGGCCTCTTGCGCCGACTACCATTGACCTCTATACAACGTCAAGCCCGTTTGCAGTGGTGTCGTGCTCATTCGCACTGGAAAGTCACTGACTGGAGTAGAATAGTCTTCAGTGATGAGTCCCGCTTTGAACTGAGCCCCGATGACCAGTGAAGGCGGATGACTAGTCATCGCCTAGGCTTTTTTTTTTTTAGTCAACAGTGTGATACAACCTGAGTGTCTTCCGGCATACAGTCCGACAACCAGGAGTGATGGTCTGGGATGCCAATTCATTTCATAGTAGGACACCCCTTTGATTGTCATCCGTCACAAAGTGCACAGCAGTACGTTGACGAAGTTCTAAGCCCCATTGTGTTGCCCTTCATGTCACGCCACCCTGGGCTTACATTTCAGCAAGATAATGCCCGCCCCTGCACTTCACATGTTTCTACAGCTTACCTTAGTGCTTGCCGAACATTACCTTGGCCAGCAAGGTCGCCGGATCTCTCTCCTATTGAGCACGTTTGGAGCATTATGATCAGGGCTCTCCAACCAGCTCAGGATGTTGACGATCTAACACGCCAGTTGGACAGAATTTGGCACGATATCCCTCAGGAGGACATCCGCAACCTCTATCAATCGATGCCAAGCCGAATAACTTCTTGCGTAAGGGCCAGAGGTGGACAAACATGTTACTGACATTTTCACTCTTTGAAACTCTATCAGTTCAATAAATTAACCAATTTTTCTCAAACTGTAATCATTTGTTTTTCTGTACATGTACATCACTTCTACTGATTTTCATTTTCGTCCCTATTCAGATAACTCCTTCTTGGTGCGTCCCTTTTTTTTTTTTTTTTTTGTGTGTGTGGTGTGTGTGTGTGTGTAAGAGTGTATTATCCCTGCCTTGTTTATAATCTTATGTGTCTTTCTCATAACATATATATATGTATGATATATGTATGAAAAATCTATCATACTTATATTTTGTGAACAATCAGTAGTAATTTGCTGTCATTTGCCTGTCTATTTTCCAAAAATGTTTTGCTATATGTAATAAAGTATATATATATATATATAATTAGGAGGAATTTTTTGTAAAAACTGTGTGAATGCTCTTCACACATTTTTTCACTGAAGCCATTTATTATCCACAATTAAAAGAAAAAAAGCATAAATATAAATGAGGCCAGAAATAATTGATATGAATGAAAATAAGCATATATAAATTTTAATTAATATATAAAAACATAAAAAGTACATTACATCCATTAAAAAATTGTATGTATCAAAAAAGATCTATGAAAAGAAAACTAAATTAAATAACTGGCACTTGCACATTGTCTAAAAATAAATATTTGTTCTTAAGTAGTTGGTGTATCAAAATTTCGGTCTTGCTTCAATTCAGTTTTTTAATTTATAATGCGTATTTAATTCTGATCATCTAAACTGGGAAGGGGAATTTCATAATTTCAGGGGGGAATGCAGTCTGGCTTTTATCTACCTGTTAAGTATTTAAAGTTTATGAATATAAAAAACTACTTTTATTCATTTTTTGGTATTTATCAATGTTTCCTATACTTTTTCTTGCTTAATTTATGAAAATCATTGAAAATAATCTACATTTAAATAAATAAACATTTTTTTTAAAGTTTTTGAAAAGAGAGGAGTGGGAAAGATTGTCTAGAAATGATGAAAGGGGTACAGGGAACAAAAAGGTTTGAAAACCACTGGTTTAAACTGTACAGTTAATTGTATGTGTGCTTGTTTAATCTGACTTCATATATGCCAACACTTTCAGTTTTCAGCTGCATTCGCATCACCCAGATTTAAAACACATTTCTCCAGAATTTCTCTTATTTCGAAAATTTCTTTCAATTTTTATGTAACTTAATATTTTATTATCTGCACATGGAAATGTAAACAATTTCCTGTGTCACTTGGTTTTTCCCTAGCTTATTTAATTTTAAAAAAAGGAAAAACTGTTTTTATCAACAGTTGGATGCTTTTATGCATTGTAAATTCATTAGGTTATTTTTTGAAGCAAAAGTTCATGAAAAGTGAGCAATGCCCTATCCAGGACTCGAACCTGGACCTCTCAAATATACGTGGAGTGTGCTACCGTTACACCATGACGGCATTCAGAAAGGAGGGAGAAAATACCTTATACTTACTCTTTTAAAGGGCGATTGGGGTTTAGAGGACCCAATCATCAAATCCTGGTGATAAAGAATCATCATCCACCACCTTTTGTTTGGCCACCACTATAGAGACATTAGGATTTTGGAAGCTGGACATATGAAAAATTAGCAATGCCCTCGCTGGGACTCAAATTTGGACCTCTCAAATATGTGCCGAGTGTGTTACCATTACACCACAAAGGCATGCAGAAAGGAGGGAGGAAATACCTTATATACTCCCCCTTTTAAACTGCGACTGGGAATTAGGGGACCCACTCGCCAGATCCTGGTGGTAACAAATTATTGTTCACCACCTTTTAGTTTGGGTGCCATAATAGAAACATTAGGATATTTGAATCGGGAAACTCAAAAAAATGAGCGATGCCCTTGGCGGGACTCGAACCTGGACCTCTTGAATATGCACTGAGTTGGCTGCCAAAGGCATGCAGAAAAGAGTGAGAAAATGCCTTATAGCATGTGAGAATAGTTGTACTTGAAAATGTTACAGTTCTACAGTGAGCATCAAGCACATCTGCATGTCTTCTGGGCCACATCATGGAATAAATGCAATGCAAAATCAAGTTTGATCAAGATGGATTTCTCTATGTTGCTAAATAGTATGAGTTTCATGTGCTTTGAGAAGTAATTAAATACTTTTCAAACTTTTTTCGTACTAGAAAACGATCAGACTTCAATAATACTTGTCATGAAACTTTCAGAATTGAACAAAGCAACAAGTGCAAAATGTGTCATTATTCATTTGCCCACAATTCCCAAAACAAGGCAGCATAAATTAATGCATATGCCCACAGTATTTCAAGCTGCTGTTTGGAAAATGTGATGTATCTGTGGGTTTGTATTATTCTATTATCAAATGAGATTGTGTATACCTCATCATAAAGTTGTGCATATCTTACACATCCATCACTCTGCAGCATGATATGGGAGAAGACAGAGCTACGAACAACTTTGATCATTAATCATCGTGTAGATAATGATGGCCCTGGACTCACAGATAAAGGCATCAACATATGTCACAGTAACATTTATATTACTATGTGTGACTTAAGCTCTCTATCACACTACTCATTTATATTATATATCACACTTCTTAAGCGTATAATTTTACACTATTTAAGAACCATATAACATGCATGCCATTTATTAGGATTGCATTTGATTACACAAAGACCTTGTAATTCACAGATGCATTACATTTGCCAGTTTTTTGCTGCAAATATTGTGGGCATGTGTGTAATCCCCTGCCCAGAGTGTTCAAACAGTTGTGGAATATCACACTTTGCACCTGTTGTTTTGTTCACATATTCATTCACCTCCAAAAGTTCATAATGATTTTCATCAGGAAGTCTGATAGCTTTTTTTGTTAGTTATATTTGTAAAAAAGTGAAATGCTCATGTTCTTTTCGAAAGTTGCTTACAGATCATTTTCCTTATATTACAGTCAAAAGTCTTTAATCCGTACTCGTCGGGACCTCGGCGATTCCGGATTATAGATCATCAATTTAAATCTAGTAAGATGGCATGCAGAAATTATAAAATTAAAGATATGAAACTGTAATTTATGAAATAAATTATGATCTAAAGGGTATCCAAATTTACAAAAAAAAAAAAAAAAAAGAAAAGAAAAGCTTAATATTTATTTGTTTACTTTATTAAATATTTCTTTCAACGTGTGCATGCGTAAAGCATACGTTACGCATAGTTGAAACGAGAAAATTGCAACCAGAAAACTATTTGATGTGTATTTGTGATATTTATAATGACAAGGAATTTGATTTAAATCATATCAAAGATGGAGTACATTGAGATGAAATACTACATTTAGTAAGGAATTATAAGCCGAGTAAAATAAAAGCATCTGCTCTGAGGATAAGGATAGCGCTGACAGATCAACTTCCAGTTCATTGCGCTCCGCAGTGTCCCCCCTCCCTCCCCACAGAGCAGCGGGAAATTAATAAACAGATTTCGGAATGGTTAGAGAAACAAAGGATATGCCTTTATCAATTTTTTGCAGCAGTTCCACTTTTTGTTTGATGGACATCGAAACGTGCTTTCACTTTGTAGATCCTTTGGCAGCTATAGAATCGGAAATTCTTTGTGACATAATCGAAAGTTCAAGCTTACTTTTATAAAATTGCTCTAACAGTCTGCAAAAAATAGTAAGCCGGATCCAATTAGAAGATTAAGCAACAACGCAATCTGCAATGTTAACTGAAATAGATAATTAGATCATTTTAGCTTAGCTTATACCGTCTGTTATACATTAAACGCACATGCGTAATCGTATTATGCGCATGCATAAAGGTATTATGTGCATGTTTAAACGCATTATGCATTTACGCATGCGCAGAAAGTTTGTAGCTTTGAGATCCAGATTAAAGACTTTTGACTGTATTTTGTCAAGGAAATGCCATATGCTTGCTATATATGTTGTTTGTCATTGTAAATTTTCAATTTTGCATGGTAAAAGGGCTAATATTTTTTTTTTTTTTTAATTTATTTTATTTCTATGATAGGGAGAAATAGGTGATATTGGGCCTGATGGTTTTGATGGACCACCAGGTTTTCCTGGATTGGTTGGACAGAAAGGTGACCGAGGAGATACAGGTCTTATAGGGCGAACAGGATTTCCAGGGGAACCTGGGTTTTCTGGTCCTGCTGGACCAAAAGGTAAGATGAAAGTTGTATATTTGTATTAAGTAAGTTTTGCCATTTGATTATTAAAGATTAGTGAAATAAGTACATTTATTTTTATTACAGTATACAATTATAATTTTTTAGCATACATCAAGGTAAATAAGTAGATTATATTTGTTTCTATAAGAACAGGAAGAGATGCATCGAATTTATATATATATAATTGATATCAAGTTGAGAGTGACTTCTTAGTACTAAAACTGTGAGTGCAGATTTAAATATCTTTAAGCATAAATCTCATAATAGTTTGATAGACTTCTATATAGTGCATATTAAGTATTTCTTAAGCAAATTGAATATTTCTTGCTAATTACTAATTTTTGTCATAGTGCATATAATGATTTCTAAAGCAAAGCTTTCTTCTAAGCAAATCCAACACGATGGATATATGATGTTGCATAATTTGAAACACATAGTTTATTTGATTTCATAAGAAGTTGAATGGAGATATAGGAACAAGAAAAGAAAGTGATAACTTGAAAGGATTAGTAAAAATTGCTAATAGGTGTAAAGTTTATTAAAAGAAGAGAAAAAATAGTTCTAATAGCATTTAAACTATACAGATATCTGTCTGTTATGTTAAATATAAATTCTAACTGCAATTTTAGGTGAACCAGGTTATTCAGGACTTTCAGGTTTCCCAGGAGATAAAGGAGAGCCAGGTGATGCAGGTATAGGAACTAAAGGACTTCCTGGATATGAAGGTGTACCTGGTTTGCCTGGTAAGCTATTATAAGTTTATTCTTCTTATTATTATTTTTCTCCTTTTGGAACTTTTTTAATGCATCTAATTATATATACTAAGATCCTTTTAATGCTAACCCCTCTTGCAGATGATTGCTTTTAAAAGTGACCAGTATGTCAGAGAACATAAATGAATAGCGATAACTATTATAAATAACTGGGAATTCAGGAAATTTCTTAAATTGCCTAAATCTAAATCTGCTTTGACATATAATATCAACAATTTAAAAACCGGTGAAGTATCTGTCAATAGCTATATCTATAGAGTTCATGCAGCACTATAGCTGGGTAAACATTTCAGGGCGGGGTAGAAGAGATTTTAAAGAACTAAAGAAAAAGCATAATTAATTAAAAGATAAATTAATGATAAGCCTTTTGGCCTCATTGCTTTAACATTGTCATTATTAGTTTATTGGAAATTAATAATCTTTCAATCCACAACTTTACAGTATTAAAAAGCTGAAAATTTCCATTCCTTGCCTCTAATATACTTAAGAACAGTACGTCATCACAAAGCTGTTAACATACACATGAAAGCCATCTACTGTGCCAGCACCTCTAAAGTCTGCTTTCTTTGAGGTTCAAAAGCTTAATTTTATGAGAGTGTGGACACCTTTGTAAAGGTTTCTTTTTTGGTGAAAATTAGGCCACTTAAGTAATGCTAATCATTTTATAAGCTGTATTTTTAATAGTATTAAAAGCTTCAGTTTTAAATCGCTGATATAAAGTAACTGTAAATATTAAATACAATTTCATTTAGCGGCATTTATGCTTATGTGCTATGAAATAGATTTGTTTAATCTAATAGAAAATTACATTTAATTAATGACAGGCCAAGTAAGGTAACTTTTTCCTAAAAAATGTTATATTAAAAAAGTTTTATTTTTTGGTAATTTTTCTAATAATCATTATTCTGTTTTCTGTATTTGTATGCACACATATTTAAAAAACTTCAGTAGTTTCTTTCAGTTTTTTTTTCTTTCAGTAGTTTTTTGTTTTATTAAATTCATTAGTTCTGTTGCATAATATGCATTTTAATATTATTTAAAAATCTAACAAGAGATCAAAATATGGATCTATATTAATAAAAAACATATTTAAAATATCAATAAAAAATTATATTGTACACTGGCAGGAAAAATTAAAGGAACAACTATAAAGAGGTGTTTATGCTAATTCCCTTATGCATGGACAAAGAAAAGTAGTTGTAGCTTTCGGTCAGTATTATCATGTAGTCTGATGAGATTCATCTTCACTACACAGAAATATGCAATTTGTTTCAACTGTTTTTCAGCACAAGTGCTTTAGATTCTAATTTCAAAGTTTGTTTGAGTAGCTGGTTAAAAATGTTCATGTGGTGGAACATGTTATTCAAAAGGCATGAAATGGATTATGAGAAATGTCATGTGATTCTGAAGCAATACAGGTTGGTAAAGATGTAAAAGCAGCCAAAAAGCCTTATAACAGGAAACTGAAAAGGGTTTAAAGACATATTGTATGCAGAGGTAAAAAACATCCACTTACAGATATTCTGGACTGCTATTTGGCAAAAATTGTTTAAAGACATAGACAACTGATATCAGCCCAGATTTCAAAGGAGTTCATTATAACTATTATAAAGGAATTCAACTATCTAGATATATCATGAGCAGCAGGTTACATAACAAAGGACTATATGCAAGAAAACCTATGACATAAATAACCCTGTTATAATATTGGAGAGGTATTTCTGATTTGAAGCATCATGGACTGAAGTCAAGATCTCTTTATTTTATAAGTTTTGTTTTTGTTTGGAGAGGGATTACAAGTGTACTACAATCTGGACAGAACAAAACATAATGCAATAATCTTTGAAACATCAATGAAAGGCATCAATACAAAGGTGGTGAAATCATAGTAGAGGCAGCCATCATTTTGAATGTCCACGCTGACACGTATATTTTTATCAGAATAATTAAGAATGCTGAAATATACAGAAATTAGGCTCTTGATCCTGAGGACCCACCAGCGGCCGAGCAGTAAAGTTGCTGAACACTGGTAGTTTGGTCCGAGGTTCGAATCCCGTGAATGGGCTGGCTGCATGGGCGTTTTCATGGTTTTCCCCATATGTAACGTGTATACGAGCTAGTGTCCCTTAGAAAGTCCTCCACGAAGGCATTCCTCCCCTTAGGCAGATAGCCCTCGAGGCTTTGCCATAATCACACACGCACACTTGATTCTGATTGATGCCAAGTTGCTCAGGAGTGCAAGAATAATAATTTCCTCCTAATGGTATAATAATGCTTGTCCCATCAAGCTGTACTAATGACCATTTATCTTGAGAAGGGAGGAATCCAGTATCCAAAATCGCCTTCATATTCGCTGGATGTAAAATTGATAGAAATGTGTGGGATGTGTTAGATGTATCCCATACATTAGGATCCTGCGTGTGCAGGATCCTAATGTATGGGATACATCCTGCACACGTTAGGCTACATCACATACATGTTAGGTGGCGATAGCATCACTGCAATCTAACACTTTATAAGAGCTTCAAAGCACTGTTCATCAAGTTCTTTGTTTCTCAAGAAACTCTTAGACAGTCTGATCCATAACATAATAAAATTGCTGCAAATCTTGGATTTTGGTCAAGGGTGATTATTGATCATATTAGTTTCATCTGTGTGTCCCTAAAATATTGTAACACCAACTTTTCCAAACTTCGTTTTATATCACATTTCTTGTGTTCTTATTTAAACAGGCAGTTCTACATTTTGAAAACATGCGATAGAATATGTATCTGATGCAAGTTTTCCATATTCTTAGCTACAAATTTATTCAAGTTTCATGAATTTTTATAGTTGTTCCTTTAATGTTCCCTGTCAGTACTGTTTATATCATTGGAATTATTTTAACAATTCGTTTCATCATTTAAATAAACTAATTTGTACAATTGATATTTAACATTTTCTTGAGCTTTTTAAATTCCTGTACAGTTATTTATTATACTTTAATATCAATGTGCAGCAGCAGTGAAACAACTGATTTGGGCAAAATCTACAGTAAAAGCCTAAATATAAGATTGTGTTTTGTATAAAAATTAAGGCAGAATTTAAGAATGAGATTTCAGAATGAGTATTTAGCAATGCTGATTCATGATGAAGGTAAGAGCCGAGAAGAATCTTTAAGAGCTGGAGAGGTCGTTCTGCTGAAACGGATGGCAAGCATATCAACTGGCCTTTAGGAATTGTCATTGAAGTCTTTTCTGGAGCAGATGGGGACTCAGGAGTTAACACAGTGAGAACAGCTGATTGAGAGAAGTTGAGACTATTCCAGAGACTTTATCCATTAGAAATCAACAGTTTGGAAAAGCTACCATTCATTGCTCAAGATGCTCAAAGGGGCGAAAGTGCCTCTACAAAGATGCCTCTACAACCTGCAGCTAATGATTCAGATTCTAGTGAAGATGATGATTCATCACCCAAAGTCCCAGATTTTGTCATTATAGCTGGCCGACATGTTAAAATTCCCAGTAGACTTGATTTGTAACTTTTTTTACAATTTATAGGTATCCTACAAATTGCAAAGGAACTTTACATTACACAGTATATAAATATGTCAATGTTTGGTAACAACGAGTTTTCTGCTTTTCTAAAAGTTTCAAAATTGTAATACATTTATTCTCAGTCGTGTTTAATAATCTTTGTATGCTCTTTAAATGCTCGTTAATTTTTTTATTGCCTTTCGATGTTTTTTAAATAGTAAAATAGGTTAAAATACCTTAAAAATGTATACATGGCCAAAATGACCACATGTGTACCTTTGCATTGTAATGAACATATGTTCTTATAGGTGTTAAGAAATGGAAGATGCTTTATTTTAGTAGAGCAACATATTTTTTATTTTGAGATTTATTAATGAAAGTTTTGCTTTGAACACTTTTGCTAAGATGATATGATAAATGATTTTATCTTCATTTGCCATTAAACAAAAATGTTGGTCATCTGTATTTAAAAATCATATTAGGCTATTAATTCTGGAATAAGGCATTTTAGAAAAAAATTTGTAAGTATTTTACTCTTTCTAGGATAGAAAAGAGAAATAGTCAAATTAAAATGTTTTCTTGTTTAAAATTTGTTTTAAATAGGCCCTGCAGGTGATAAGGGAGAACGTGGAAGAGAAGGATTACCTGGTTTAACAGGACTGAAAGGCACAAAAGGTGATGATGGAATACCTGGTTCAAGAGGACCTGTTGGAATACCTGGACGTTCTGGCCAACCAGGACTACCTGGCAGAGATGGATTACCTGGATTTGCAGGCAAGTTTTTCATATAAGATTTATGTGAAGTTACATCTTTATTTGCTGTTATATTGGTGCCTAAATTAAATAATATATATTAAGTTGAATCTTAATGCTTTCTAATAACTAATGTTCTCTAAATCTTGATAAGGATATTTGGAAGTATTAATTTATTGATATTGAACTATGTCTGATATTTAATTTCAGTTTCTTAAATTTTATACTGAATAAATATTTCAATTTAATTATATGTTGATATTAACCCTCCGAGTGGCACGGGTTTTTTGATTTGTCATGAAGACCTGTATTTTTGCAATATTTATTAGCTAAATTTATATAATTACTTTAGCCTCTATTTTCATACATTCATTAAGATTACATTTACATTATTAAAGAAAGTAAGAAAGTAAAATATTTGAAGTTATAAGTTAATATGTATCAAGTGACAAAAAAAATCTCATGACTGGATAAAGCGATCATGCCGCTCAGAGGGTTAAAATCCTGTGTTTTTAAGGAAGTTGTTATGGAAGGATTTGGATATTTGTTGAATATACAATATATTCTTTATGCATAAATATACTATCTAAAAGAAATTGCTATTTATGGTAAATATGTTTCCTGGCAATGCATATATTAAACTTCCCAAATTATCACGTTGAAAGTTATGGGATGATGAATTCAAACTTATAATATCTGCAAATATGGAGTACTATCTACTAAACAAGTGGATAATTCCATGTATATCCTGAGCAGGAAGTCTTCAAACATTGTAAAAGGACTTTTATTTGCCACACGTAATATAACAATAATATAACAATGGGTGACTGATTTGCAGTATTGAATTCTGAAAAGTTTTAGATAAAAAAACTATTTGTTGTTGGGAAAATATAAAAGGATAAAATTTAAATTCTCAAGAATTCAAAAATGTACATAAACGCAAAGTAAAGTCTGTTTAGAAAAGAAAAAGAAAAAAATCTTATTTCTTCTGTACTTAAATGTAAGAAAAACAAGTTTTAACTTTACACACAGATGGTATTATTATATCTACAGAATAACACAGAAAACTGGAGGAAATAATAAAGCAAAATAAAGAGTATGTATTGATACTGCTGATGAAATGTGCAAAAATTACAGTGTTGCATAGGCAGTAGGAGCTGAACAGTGGCTGTCTTATTTGTTATCCTCAGCATCACAGGAATTTACAAAATGATTTTCATTATTAGTAGAAAATATAAGCAGAAAGAAAACCATTGAGACAGCTTTTGGATTAAACCAGAAAAATAAAATTACATGTAGAATTATTACTTCGATTGGCATGCAAATATGATGAGAAAGGTAGCAAATGTTGATGATAAAAACTGTAAAAGACAAAATATTGACACAAAGTTTGTCAGTCAGTAGTTTTAGAAGTTAAAGAGTATAATTCTGGTGGAATAAAAAAGGATGTGAATGTAGGAAGGAAAAATATTATTAATAAAATGTACTTGTAAACTCTGTATGAAATATTTGTCTTCAGAGTCATAAAATTATGTGTGCTTTTCTGTTAAACATTTCCTAAAAATGCTGTGGACTGCTTAAATTATAGTCTAATAAACTTCATGATTTCTCAAAAGTTGAATGGTTATTTAAATTTCATCCAAATGAAATAGTTTGCAATAAATTTTAGATTATATTTATTTGAGGCACCTGATAGCATTTTTTCATGATCTATATGAAATGTATGGTATGTATTTTATGTATGATATATATAATAAATACAGATATTGTATGTGTATCTATCTATATATATATTTACAATGTATAGCTCTCTTACCCTCCTTACATGTGTGTTTGCATTCATGTGTGTATGTTATTAAAAGAATCTGTATGTATGTATTTACATTCCTTGTAATGTGAATACTTCCTGAACATGTATAATTTGAAGCCCAAATTTTGACTTTATTTAATTTACTTGAAATTTTATGCAAATTTAATTAATTTTTTATTCATAAACTCAGGTTTAAAAGCAATGTGTTGCCACTCAGCAAAGCATGATTAAGATACAATAACACGCTGAACAAATATTAATTTAGAAGTCCAACAACAAAGATCAGCGTTATATTTTCAAATTTTCACAGGACTAGTTTCGATGGTTTTACCGAACCATCATCCTCAGCTGCAAAAGTGCAAATGAACGAGATGAGATATAATGATTAGATAAGATAAGATAAGAAAGCCAGAACAGGAGATAAGCTTATGGTGCCATCTGTTGATGAAACCAGAGCTAAAACATAATTTCTTTAAAGGCTGAAGGCAAAGATGGATTGGAATTAGGGTCATTAAATAGAACAGAAAGATTTTTTAATGTGAAATACCTCTAGAAAATCCAGTTCACCAATGGAAGATGTTTTTTGAATAATTTTGGCAGCAGAAAATTTTGAAAGTGTGATTTTCGGACCAACAATGTTGGGCAACAGAAGACTTCTGTTTTTCCTTTTTTCTAACATATGCTTCACGTTCCTTAACGCAAAATTTTAAGGCTCTCTTAGTTTGGCCAGCAATCAAACAGAAATCAAACTTCACAGGACTAGAATATAATGCTGATTGAAAATATAATGCTGATTTTTGTTGTTTGACTTCTAAATTAATTAAAGCATAAGATATTTATGTTTTATATTTAATCAAAAAACGTAGTGATTTAAAAAAAAAGTGTTTACATTTAGCAAAACAGAATAAATATGTCTTTCAAATTCAATCAATGAGCTTAGCAATTTAATGAAATGGTTTTGTCTCTGCCCAAAGTGAAATATTTTAATCTTTGACATGCCAGTGTGTTCTCGTTTGGCAAAATGTAAGATATTCAATTTTTTTTCTTTTAGATTTAATCTGCCTGTTCTGTATTTCAAGTAATTTTAAAGCAATAAATGCAATTCCTTATCTGTAATATTATTGGTCATAAGCTGGATCCCTGAAATTACACTATCTGGATTCATTAAAATTATGATACACTTGTACCCTGGTATACATCATTAATTAATTCTAGATTTTTTAGCTTATGTTAAACTGGACATATACCAAACAGTACTTTTCCAGTAAGAAATAGAAGGAAAATAATATTAATCCATTTTTATAAAAAAATCTTATTGCTGTTTAATACTTGGATATAACCCTGTTTAATACTCAGATATAAATGCAGTGTGTGAAGTATATACTGTATGTGGATGAAGTGCTGTACATAATTGTTTTTCTCCTATCCAGATTAAAAATAATTTCTCAACATGCTGTAACATCTCTGATCTTTATTTCGTAATGAATTTCACACCCTTCACAGCTGTAGCCTGTTTAATAGCATCTTTGTTTTTTACAATCACAGATACAATCATTCTCAACATACAGTATACAATAGCCAATTACTGGATATGGATATCATCTTCATAGTTTTCAACTATCACTTATTTCATCTACATGGTGATATGATTCTAACCATTTTCTTTATTGCTTGACTCATTATGACTTGTTAACTTTCTTAAAATTCATTGTTAATGAATTTGCAATTTACACACACACACAAGAGGGAAAAAAAAAAGAAAAGAAAAGGAGATTTAGAATTATAGTGCAGATTGTTTACTAAATAATAGCAACAGGCATACTGACTTGTAGGGGGAATCACAGCATTGTTCTCAAAAGTGTGTGCAGTCGTGATTTATTGAACTTGAGTCATATTCTAAACAAATATCATATACTAAAAAAATTATATTTTAAGGATGGCAGCTATGCAAATGTATATAAAAGTCTTGAAAAAATGTTTTGCAATCAGTTTTGAATTAACTTTAAAAGTGACATGAAGTATTCCTCACACATAATTTCTTTTTAGGCAAAAAAGGAGAAATGGGAGATATGGGACCTCCTGGGTTAGATGGATTTCCTGGAAGATCAGGATTGCCAGGTTTTGCTGGAATTAAAGGTGAATTTTCTTTAGTCAAAAAAATCCTAGTCTAAATAAATATATGTTTCATTTCTTATTTCACTTTTCTTAGTATGTATTATATTTTATTTTATATATGATTTATTATTTAGTTATCTTTTGAATGGAGGAATGAGTTATAATTTGTTTTTATTTTAAATATAAATGGTGGGCTATTGAAGTTTCTGGACAAGAAGTTAAACATAAACATTTTGAAATTATTTCATTTTTTTTTTTTTTTTCTTATGAAGATCTCTCTCAAACAACTTTTCGATTTTGGGGATGTGAATTCTTTTATTAAACAGGTTTAAATTTGGCAACTTATCAACATTTTAGTGATTTTAAGATCAGGTTCTTTGGTTAATATTTAATTTGGAGATCTGGGAATTTTGCAATGATTTTTTAAAACATTATAACATTGGTAAATTTCATTAAAATAATGGTAATATATTGGAATTATATTTAAGAAATAATATTAAAATAAAACATTTTTATTTTTCGCTGTCATATTAAGTGACATTTTTTTCCCCATTTTTGCAACTTACAATATTTTGAATCTGAAATACAAATTTACAATATTTTGAATCTGAAAAATAAACAATGTAATAAATGCTATATAAAGTTTATGAAATAATTCTTAGAAAAAGCAAAATAGCTATGTAATTAAATAAAAATTTCTTTTTTAAATTTTTCCATGGTAAGAGTTTTTCCCATGTAATTGTCTCAGACTATTCAGAATTCTCAGAATATGTATCAGCTTTCTCTATAAAATTAATTTTGTACTTTTTTCTTCTGTCTTTTTTCTTCCAAAATATTTCTTGCTTTTTTTCTGTTACATAATTGGTAGAAGTAATTTTTCTTTAAGATTTTTAGACATTGCAATTTGTAAAGTTTAGAAGGATTTGAAGGCAAAATTTATAGACCCATGATTCTAGAAGATTCCAGAAAAAATGGGACAAAATGAAAAATTTCTTAATGATATAACACATAATGAATATATTTTACAGAAAGTTTGTGATCAATTTCTTACTTTTTAGAGAAATTTTGGGAGAACAATGAAAACATAATATTAAAATATTTTTTCTGATACTAGAAGTCTTTTTCTTAACATGTTTATCTTCATTTTGTTTTCTCTATTTTTCATTAAACACAAGCACAGAAAATTTCAAATATGCTTCTAATCTTATCAACTTGGACAGGCATTTATAGAAAAGAATTTTCCTATTAACAAAGAAACTGAAACTGACATTTTAAAAGATTAATCTTATATGTCTCAATATATCATACACAGGACTGGGATTAGGCATTTTCCCACTTGATACAATCTCTGTGGATCGTAAATTCTGCTGCCTAGTAGCATTCCTAAATTCTGCTCCCAGTGCCTGTTCTAAATTCTAAAAGTTTTGCCATTTCTAGATTTTGTTGCTCGGTGGGTCATTAAATTCTGCCACTCTGGCTCTGTAACCGGCCCTGATCATACATCATTTCATATCTATTCTGAATGTTCATATTACTAAAAAAAAATAAAATTAGCAGCTTTTTCTATATATTCTAAATGCATTTAATTTTTTAAAACAACAGAAATCTTTACTTAAATCCAAAAATTCTAAAATGAAGAAGAAACGTATTGAGGAAAGAAATTGAATACATGAACAGGAATAAAATTATTCTTGAAAGATATGTACAGTTATTGTTGTGTAAATTAACCAGTAGTTTATAATTTCTGCTTTTACTATAACTTCCCCTTTCTGTTTTCTTACCAGAATGTAATCAGTTAGTTTTTAAACTGATGTTTTTGGATTGTAAAAGAGAGTGTGTTTCTGGCCTCCGCTTGCAGAATGCATTAGCTCTTTCCAGCTCTGATAATTTATAATTATTCATTTTTGCATTATTGCTGCTGACAGTTGAATTTGTTACAACAATAGAGTTACTGGGCTAGCGTAGATTAAAATTAAATTGTGTAGTCTTTGACTACTGCTCCACATTTTTAGTTTAAATTTGACTGTTCCTGGTTAATTACATCACCATGAGTTGCAGTTGATTTTGTTAGCATAAGGACATGCCTTTATGTTCTAAGTTCTTTTTAAATAAGTAGTTTATCTAAACCTTATGATTTTACTTTCAGATGTAGTGATGGTTTGCTTCTGGGGTTTTGGACTATTTAACTTTTCCCAAATCAAGTAAAACCTCGAAACATTGAAACAAGTGGGAACATTGGTTTGTGTATTGAGGCAAATTTCTGATTGTTAGAAATGGATGCTTAAAGAGAATGATTTATATAAATTAGCCAAAAAAGTCTGGGTAGGCTTCAAATGAGGCATAAATATTTTGTTGTGTGTTGTTGCTACAAAATGTAAATGTTTTGTAGCTTGTAATGGGTAATTAGATCAATATCGTTTAAGAATCAATGTCATAAATTACCTCTATTTTAAACTGTGAAATGCTGTTATATTGTGATTTTAATAGTGCTTTTATGACAAATATTTTTTTAATAAATAAAATTTTTATAGTGGCCCTGTAAATCTATAATGACTAAAGGTATTTAACAGCCTAATTTAATTATTTGTAACTAACTGCTCACACTTAAGAGTTATTTCTACATATTAAAATGAGTTATTGCCTTTCATTAATTGTAACCATGGTCACAAGATGCAGCACAAAAATGTAAAAATTAATGTAAAACTTATTCTTGAGTATATTTAATCCTTATCTCTTCATTTAAGAAATTTTTGATAATAATTTTTGGGGGGAAGGGATGGGGTCTTATACGACACCAATTTTAATCTCATCAGTTTTCTGATGGTATGCTTCTGGGTTTATTCCAGTTTCCAAACAATAATTCAGTGATAGCTTTTTAAAAGCATTCACTGATGCATTAAAACCGATTATATCTTAGCTGTACTGTTTTTCCATCCAACCATGATGATAAGGAAAATAATACTCAAGTGGTATTACAAGTCAACAGATCAAAAGAAGTACAAAGAAAGCATAATTGAAATAATTCTTTTTTTTTCCCTGGAATTATTCCAGTTATGCCTTCTTTCAGTCATCTTTCTAGTACTTTATATTCTGCTAGCCAAGTATCTTTTTCCAGCATTTAGTATGTAGAATATTTTTTTTCAATTGCGTGTTCATAATAGTCGGGTAGAATATGGTGAACATCTTTGTGTGCCATATGAACTACATACCTTCTGTCATACTTGTATTTTGAATTGTTGCACCATGTCGTGTTTAATCTCATTCTTGTGTACCTGCTGTACAAGATCTCTAATTTCAAAAAACTTAGTATCATAACTTTGAAATGCTTGAACATTGATAAGTAGTGAATTATAGTCATATTTAAATTTTTTTATTTTTATTTTTGAAAACTTTTCCTATAAATATAGTTTTCATGGCCACTTGCTTTTCAGCTCTTTTCTTTCATTTGTAAAAAGTTTTCCTGAAGCATCTGATCCAATTAATATTTCAATAGAACCTGGTTTCTTTTGCAAATCCATGTTGCATAGAAGATTAAATCCAGAAAATTGTTTCTGGATTTAATCTTCCAGCTTGCAAAAGTACTTACCATATAGATTACCTAAATAAATCTTATAATTTATGTTTTTATTGTGTCTCCAGATAAAGAATGATGTAAAATTTCTTCTGTAATTGGTCCTTAATTCATATTAAAAATCGAAGACTTTAATGTGTATGATTTCTGCGATCCCCTATCAGTTAATGCACAATTGTGATGCTTTGTGTTAGTACCAATTAACTTTACAACTAATATTTGAAAGCTAACCTCAGGAGTAAAAAGTAAACTGGTTTGCAGTGCACAATATCTTGATACACTGCATACCAGTTTACTTCTTACTCTTGAGATTAATTTTCAAATACTAGTTGTAAAGTTTATTGGTACTAACACAAAGCATCATATCTGTGCGCTAACTGATAGAGGACTGATAAAATTGTATACATTAAAGTCTTCACTTTGTATCAATATACTATGCAAGTTTATTTCTTGACTTAAAGAAACTGTTTTCACAATCTAAATAACTCTCCCTTTGTTATTATTATAATAATTATGTGTAGCTCAGAGCATACTATTGTAAAATATCTCTTCAAAGAGATCATAGATATCACATTGCATGCGGGAAACGTGATTTTCATTTTTTTGCTATCTATCACTAGAGCGCGGTACACATATATGTACGTTTTTTAGTGAATTTGTGCTGGAGACTGTATATCGTATAAATATGATGGACATTATAAGTATGTATCAATTTATTGCGATTTTATGACAAAACTCCCGCGAAATTCATGAAAAACTGCCGCTACACGCTTTAAGTCCTTGGCGAAATATACCCGCATGCAATGTGTAAAAGTGGTGATTTTAAGCAAGTACTAATACCTACCCCGCTTTTAAACGGCAATCCGCAAAATGGGTACTAGTACCTGCCCCGCTTATAAATGGCAATCTGCAAAACGGGTACAAATACCCGCCACCGCTCATAATGTGATATCACTGAAACTTTATTATTCTTTGCTTTGTGTCCTGATTTCAGACAACAAAAGCAATGCCTCTTATTTAATAAAATTTGTTTTCTTTTTGTATCAGATACATACTTCTAGCTCTGAAATATTCATTATTGTTATGCTTATCATTACAAAATAAGTCTACATTACACAAATTATTTTCATTAGTGATGAATTAATCAGTGACTATAATATTTTCTTTATTTGCTTTTTGATTTGCCTTATTATTTTCCTTAAAGAATTTATTCTTAAAATTGAAATCTGTATCTACTATTAAACTTCTTTGCTCAGTTTTGACTTCATTTTGAATAAATTCCAGTGAATCATTAAGATGATCTTTTAATGTTCCATCAAGACTCTTAATAATTGTTCTAGAATGAGATTCATTTGTCAGAAGTGTAATAGCATTATATATTTCTGTTGCTGCAACCAAAATCTCTAATTTCAATAAATAGTATTCAGATTTACAATATAAGCTCAAGAGAGAGGAAGTAGAATTTGGCAGTATATGTTAAATGATTAAAGGAAAGATTTCAGTGATTCCTCTTTGCCAAATCTAAATTTTATAGCATTCTACTGCTTTTGGATAATTCTCCAAATAGTAAGAAGATAATTATCTACTAATTTCCTCGCACAAGAAATTATTACTATTGATTGTATTTGATACTGAAATTTATCTGTAAGGACAATAATATCATCTTCATATACCTTTTTAAACTTGGCCCAAGATGGCAATCACTCTCTTAAGTTTACATCAAATTTCTTTAACTCAGTTTTTACAAATCTAAATTTCCTTTTACTTCTGTCATATTAAGCCTGTTAGAAGAATTTCCCTGACAACATCTGTTAGTTTATTTTGCTTATCTGAAATTGCTTTGCTCTTAAAATAATGACTTAAGTATTGTTCAACAGACTTACTTTCTATAAGAAATATCAGGTTCTAATATAAATTTTGCTATTCAATTATTTTCCTCCTTTCAGTGCATTAATTATCATATCCATTTTAAATAAAAACTTTAAATAAAAGCTTTATAATATAAAAATCTTTTTTAATTGTATTTTATTTAGCTTCTAAAAGCATTTTAACTGCCAAAGGATGCATTATTTATCATTTTTAAGTACTGGGAAAATTTAATATCATATACATGTAAAATAAACAAAAGCTTACCTTTAAATAAAAAACACAGCTTAACGAAAGAAAAACTTGAATGAATTGATCACACATCAAATATATGAATTCCAATTATTACTTAAAAGGACAAAAAGAGCAGCCAGTCAAAAACCAATCATACCCATGTTATACATTTTAATTCCAAGCATTTATTGATTATTAAATTTATGTGAAAAGATTTTTTACTAAGTATTGCTTTTCAAGAACAGTTAAGAGTAGGAGCTATACAGTAATTTGTTTAAAAAGATAAATTAAAATGGAAATTTTAGTCTGTTATTTTTCCATTCATTTATAATCCTGTATACGCGTTTTTGTTTAATTCATAGGAGAACAGGGTGAAGCAGGTTTCCCTGGTTTAGCTGGAAGACCTGGCCTTCCTGGTCTTCCTGGACTACCTGGCGACCGTGGATTTCCTGGAGTTCCAGGTGGGAAAGGTGAACCATCATTATTCAGTATCAAAGGGGAACCTGGTGAGGCAGGATTGCCAGGTATGTTCTAAATATTTGTGCTTTATATACATATATATATATATATATTCTTTGTGCCTGCACAAATGCAGAGAATGTAAAGCAATTAAATATGATTTGCTTGATGATATTTTTAGTAACACTGGGTAGAATACCTTAAATTCTATGAATTTCTTTTCATAAACAAGCAGTTTATAATGATATGATGATGATGATGATAATAATAATAATAATATGTAATCAACAATTAAGCAATTGTGCTATTACTCCATATTATTATTCCAATAGAAAAGCATACTATTGATTCTGGTATATATATTTTGATATTGCATCAGGCAAAATAGATAATACTTGGCAGTTTTTTATGGTTTTATATGGGAAGATTGATCTATACTAGATACAAGAAAATGCCATTATCCCAAAGATTTTTTTAATGATTTCTGGACAGGCATCCCCTATATGCATTTCCTATGAGTGCCTCTCACATCCAGGCGTCCCACCCATGCATCATTCGAGTACAAACATAAATGGACAGATGATGCATATATGCATTTTAAGCAGAAACATTTTTTAAAGATCGCTAGATGGTATCCTGTGTCCATTACTTTTGAACTGAATATAGTTTTAGGATTCTGACCTTCAGTTTGTCACATTCTGCATAACGGTGTCAGCTGTTGCGGGAGAGAAGTGAAAACAAACTTAACATGTAACATGAGATGATGTAAACAAACAGACATCGGCTCTTTAACTCAACGTGTGACATAAGCATCTGCATTTCTGATATCCCTCTATATCCTCTTTTTTCTTCTTTTATTCCAGAGGGGCTTTGTCCCTGAGGGACTATTGTTTTCGTTTTGCGATTTTGCATGGAATCACTCTGAATGCCTGTTTCACTTTTCAAACTGTTGCCACCAAATATTTTTACCCTGTATTATATTTGAAGAAATTAAATAATGAAGAATCAGCATAATGTATGTATGTTTCTCACATTGTGATAAAACAATGGTACCTAGACCCATCCAATTTTGAATGACATAATCCTTCTGCAAATATTTGTTTTATTATCGATTTCATATTTTGTAAAGCTTTAACGAATTTTTGATTAAAAAACTCAAGGATTTCAAAGTGAGCAATGGTATCATTGTACAGAAAAAAAAAAAAAAATTATCTCCAGCGTGTGACACTGTATCGGAAATTCTAAAGATGTGCTCAGTTTAAAATTATTTTGCAATATTGCTGTTGAACTGAATTTTATGGTTCAAGTGTGAAGAACATGATATTTAATAAATAAAGGTAACACACAAAATGTTACAAAACCGCCCCTTTGGACGTAATTTAAAATCTGAAAACTTTCAGTTTTTTTTCTCCCTACTATATAGGGTCTTTTAGGATTACTGAGTGGGGTTCTGTTACACTTTGCTGTGCAAAAAAAAAGGGGGGGAGAACATTTCTATATCTCTCATTTTACTGGGCGGATTGACGAAATTCAAATTGTGTTTTTCATGTCTCGAAAGGACGACTTAGGATATGTATTAGATTTATATATAGTGTTGTTTAATATATGTATTTTCACACAAAAATGGGACATTTTCTGAAATGACATGCAAATTTTTTTTTCCATATTTCAATTCTATGACTCAAATTATGCCAAAATGCGAAGTTTTGTAAAAATCACACAAGTAATTTTTTTAAAATTAGCTCTCAAAATTTTAGCTCCTCTGTGTTAATTGAGTTTGGTATATATTTATTAGTATTTCTTTTTTATTAAACTTATTTAATTCTTCCTTTCACATTTCAAAATTTAGGTTCATTCGAAATAAAATTCGCCCATTTTTTTGTGATTTATTTTTAAATAATTCTAATAAATTTTTCTAAAAAAATTTGGAATTATAATCTAAAAAATTTTTATCATCATCTTAAAGTAGTTGTATTTCTAAGCATATCTGCAAAAAATTAGAGCTTTTTATTCAAAATTTTCTAAGATATACATGAATTTATATATTGGAGTATTTTGAAATTTTTTGGGGGGGGGTGACTTTTTTCTAGTCCTTCACAATAGAAGGGAAAGGAGAATGGGTTGTCAGATATTAAGAAGTTTGCCAAGTGAATTATTCTTGGTGCAAACTGAAAAAAAGATGCCAAGATAAATTATTAATTTCATTTTATATTTCGCACCAAATTTTGCAAAATTGAATATTTAGGCATAATTTGAAACGTAGAATCGAAATATGAAAAAATTGGAGTGTTATCTCAGACAAAGTCTCATTTTGTGTCAAAATACCTATGTTAGACTAATGCTATATATACATCTAATATATATCTTAAGTCATGCTTTCGAGACATGAAAAACACAATTTGAATTTCGGCAATCAGCCCGGTAGAATGGGAGGTAGAGAACTGACTCTCCCTTTTTTTTTTGCGCAGTGTACGTTACAGCTTTTACTAAATTTTAAAAAAATAATAATATTCCAGTTTTATACAGTTTGTGTTAAGTTAGAAAACCTATTTGTATTGAAAAAACATGAAAAGGGAAGAGTTATGAAACTATTAATTATTTTTTTAACTCTGATTTTTAGTATTTAATATTTTTTTATGTTAAGAGATTGAATCTAAATCGTAAATACTTCCTTTTTTCTCATGTTTTTCAAAAAATATATTCATCTTTTTAAATTTTAATTCATCATGCGTAGGTTTAGAATAATTAAAAATAATATTAAATATGCATCAATTTTATTTATTCAAGGATAGTTATATAAAAAAGAATAAAAATTAATTATAAAAATAATATTAAATATGCATCAATTTTATTTACTCAAAGATAGTTATATAAAAAAGAATAAAAATTAATTATAAGATGCAATTGACTAAAATGTTACAGAGAAAAGTTCCATGCTTAAGAACTATAATAAAATTTAAATTATTACATATGTAATATGTAATTATTACACTGTAATATGTTTTGAAAAATATGATTTATATAAAAATGTGCTATAACTTTTGTTTTTAAACATCATGATTGCATTTGCTAAAAATTGATGGCAATTTTTTAATGAAAACTAGATGAATAGCTGTAATAATTTTTATACTATGCTTAATTTTTTCATATTTTTCTTCAATACTATTAAATTAGGTGCAAGGGGACCTCCTGGTCTTCCTGGACGTTCTGGTTTACCTGGTCCCAAAGGAGAACGGGGAAATCCTGGTTTAGCTTTAGATGCAGAGCCTGGACTTCAAGGGCTACCAGGACCAAAAGGATATCCTGGCTTTCCTGGATTGCCAGGATTCAAGGGGGAAATGGGTGACATGGGATTCCCAGGTTAGTAATAATTGCAATGTTATAGACACTTAATTATTGCTTAATTTGAGGGTCCTTTGTGCTTTATAGCTCCATAGAAGTACATCCCATTTTGAATGTAACAGACCTGTATCATTTGCATATCATATCTATACCACTGTTTTAATAAAATCCTAATTTCTGTTTTTACTAATAATTGTAGGAAAAACTTTGAGCAAAAAAAAGCTTTCTTTGGTATAGGTTTTGTACAAAACTATCAATTTTAATGGCAGTCAGACACAAGTTCTTTTTCAGGAGCCAAAAAATCAATCAAATTTTGTTCAAAATCTTGTCAAACAAGGGCACTTTTTTGCCAAAATTTAAATATGTTTAATTGTCAGCAGTCATAACCTACAAAAAAGCTCATGCAGACATGATTTCCATTATGTAATATGACTTCAAAAAACATGTATAAAAAGATATAAAGGGTTCTGTAAAAAAAGGATTTAAAATTCAATAGTTTTATCTATTAAAAAGCAGTTTTCTGAGAATGTTACACTATTTATAAAGTTTTCTGTATACAATCTTCTGCATATGAATAATTTAGTGAAAGTAAATAAAACTTCATTTATTTTGTGTCTTATGTGTAGTTGTAACTGTTTGCTATCTTATATTCACTGCAGTGATGAAAATAGTAATAATAATTTATATCTCTAAAAATTTCTCATAGGCAGTGGTTTTGTTTTTTTTTTTTTTTTCTTGGGTTTGTGGTGATTAGTCATGGAAGCTATGTCAGAGCACACCTTGCCACCCACACTGCTGCCTATAAATTTAGCAATCCTAAAGAGAAGTTTTAAGAAGGACAGAGAGAGATCCATCTGTCAAGGTGTATGCATGTTAAGTCTTAAATAAAGATAATTTTTTTAAGGAGTATGGAGTCAACTGAAGTCTTCTATGGATTCTGTGAGAATATAAATTATGCACTACTACAGTGGTGACCTCTGAACATCCTTAAATCAGCTTAATTTTGCAAGTACTCAACTTATGCTCTCATTTTTGAAGATTAACATCTCTTGGGCTTTCAAAGGCAGAAGTTATGGATAATGTTTTCTTTTTTCCTCTAAATCACAGATGAATATTAATTATGAATCATTCATAGATTCTTTTTCTATTTATCCTTCATATTATATTTGATTGAATTTTTACTTTCATTTTGAGTTAAACCGTGCACAGTAGCTCACGTATATGTCATAAAACTCCAATTTACAATCAGTCAGACCCAGCCTCGTGGTACATTATATGTAAGAGTATGTTTGTTCTTGCCCCTTTCTAACTTTACCAAATAAAATTATGTAGTTTCTTATCTTCCTCTAGATATTGCACCATTGGCTTAAAATTTACTTATGAAGCCAGATCCTACTGACCCTTATACTAAACTCAAAAGTGAATAAACTCATTCTGCTGCTTTCAAACTGTCACCCTTGGTCAGTAGTAATAACAGCTGGACAACCGAATCAAGTAATGCAGTGGTCGTAGAAAGCCATGCTACTGTGCATGCAGTTATGTCTGGTATGGGTACCACTTCGGGCCATCTAGTAAACCTATCGATCATAGTTAAACAGTAACAATTATTCTGAGAAGGAAGTAGTGGACCAATGAGGTCAAGATGGATGTGATTAAATCTCTGTGATTGGTCTAGAAACTTCATTAACGGGATTCTAGTATGTCTACTTACTTTTGCTTTCTGGCATGGAATGCATTGTCGCATCCAGTTTGCACAATCTTTACGGATAGAAGACCAAATAAACTAAGAATATGTTAACTTTGTTAATGCACGAATGCCAAGGTGAGACAAATTGTGCAATGTTGCAAAAACTTTCTAATGGAATGCCAGGGTAATGTAAGGGTGAGCAGTACCTGTTGAGAAATCGCAATATATCGGTAAAGCTACAATTCGGTAAGGTAACTTTTTTGAGATGTAGAACTTTTGACTTTTTAAGCAATGTTTGTAATTCTGTGTCGATTTCTTGCATTTTAGCAATTTCCTCATAGTCGATAGGGTTAGGCATGCTTATTGCTTCTATGTGCGAAAGTGGGTCGGCAGCGATATTCTCCTAACCTTTTATGTGGAGAATTGTGAGAAAGTCTAATTGCCTAGCCTGGATGAAATGAACATTTATCCAAATGCTGTCAAAATACATACGTAAGTGGCATGTGATCTGTGATTAATGAAAAATTCCGTGCTTCCAACATATGCTTAAAATGCCTAATAGCAGCATAAGCTGCCAATACCTCCTGATCATAAGTGAATATATAGTTTGATATAGTTTCTTTTTGCTTCTGAAAGCTTTCGTGAAAAACATGCGAGAGGCTGTACATTTGCATCAACTAATTGTGATAGCGTTCTACTGATCATGAAGTCTGACGCATCGGCCTATAAAATCAACTGGACATTTTTCTTCGGGTGTGCTAAAAGAACTGCATTTGCGATTAACTGTTTACAATTTTGAAATTTGTTCCGTTCTTCCTTAGACAAATTCAGCATTGTCTTATCATTTTTCTTAGCCCCTTTTAAATAGGAAGTTTAAATGTATTTGATTCTGGGCTATGTTGAGTAAAAATCTATGGTAAAAGTTTAAAAATCTTAAAAATCTCTGCAAATCTTTTACTATTTTAGGAAGTGGGTAGTTAAGTATCGGTTCAACTTTTTTCAGCAGAGACTTGGTACCGTTTTTATTGCTTAAATGTCTTAAAAAATATATTTTGGGAACACCAAAAACTCTTTTAGAAGCATTAATTGTCAATCCGTATGAAGTTAATCTTTCAAAAACAGTACGTAGGTGAGATTTATGCTCATCTTCCGTATGACTAAATATCAAAATATCATCTAAGTAGACGTAGGCGAATTTTAGGTTTCCAAGAATTTTGTTCATAAATCTTTGAAATGTTTAGCTGCTCCACACAGTCCGAAATTTGAAAATGGAAATTCAAAAAGACCAAATGGGGTGCAAACTGCAGTTTTTGGTATATCATGATATGCCCAAATGATATCGATTTCTGAAAAATTTTGCTTTCCGCTAAGTGTGTAATTAAAGTCTTGTAAATGTGGGATAGGATATCTCTCAGGTTTGGTACACGCGTTTAATTTTCGGTAATATCCTACTGACCATATGTTTCCTGAGTTTTTAGAAACAACATTAAGAGGTGATGACCATGTCAATTTTGATGGTCTACAAATACCTTGATCCATCATAAATTAAAATTCTTTTTTTGCTGCTTTGTATAACTTAGGGCTTAACCTACGCGGTTTACTATGCACAGGAAGACCGTTTGTTTCGATGTAATGGACCGCGGTATGCTTTTACTCTACCGAATCGGATTTTAATTCAGTACTTTAGGAAAGTCTTTCAAGATTCTGTGATATGGTGAATCACCCAGATATTAACTTTACCGAAAAATAATTTTTAGAATCGGAAAGAGAACCAATACGAGTTAATTTCGTAGTATTATCGATAAGCCTACCTCGTTTTAAATCGATTAAAAGATCAAAATGCCTTAAAAAGTCGGCTCCTATTATAGGCACTCGGTACATCGCGATTAAAAACTTAAAAACTTCCAAGAAAAGTTTCGTCTAAGTCCTAAACTCACAGTTTAACAATTTTGTTCCATACGTAGAAATTCTGGAATTATTCACGTCAAATAATTGTAGCGAATAAGGATGAATTTTCTTAAACTTAGAAGTCAGTGGCATGCGTGAGACATCCAAGCCAAATCGATCAAAAATTTTTAATTTAATCTGTTATCATAAACATGTAAACGACATGAATGCGCGACTGCCGATGAATTTCGATCGATAGCCGCTACTACTAGTTTTCCTGGGCCTTAGTATTCTGAGAAAAAGAACAAGGTGCTCGGCATTTTCGTGCATATTACTACCGAATCGCGAATGAAAATAACAATAATTGTTCACACGCACTCTCGGAATGCCCACGCGAAAAACTACGTGGTCTTGTTATGTTGATCCCGGGGAAATTTATTTCTCATTTTCCGCGGAGAGTCACTCAACTTGTTTACTTAGGGCAGAGCTATTTCACTCCTTAAGGCCTTAAGCTCCTCGAGGGGATGGCACCAGAATCGTTAGGGTTTCTGGGGGAACTTGCTGAAGCTGCCTAGTCCGCAAACGCACTATTGTTCATTGGTGTGTGCACTTCAGATATCTTATCAGCCATTTTTGCTAAATTATCTAAGGATTCAGAAATAATTGACCAAATGGCGTGCACTTCGGAAGGTAACCTTTGCAGCTATAATAATTTTAAAAATTCATTAGTCATTCCCCCCTCCAATTCTATCATTTTTCTCAATAATTGAGATCATTTGTCATTCCCTAAATGCAATTCAGAAATAACCCTGTGTATTGCTCGTTTTCCAAATTTGAGAATTCTGCTATTAACCTAGCTTTTAGGGCATTCTATTTTTCCGTCGCGAGATGGGGGATTAAATAAAATATCTTATACTGTGGAAAGAGTTTAGGTGTCTATGAAAGAAATCACATGGTTATATTTCATAATATCATTATTAATCTTTGCTTAAGCAAAGTTACTTTCAACTTGAACAGTTTAACATTATTTTTCCATAAAGGGAATTTTAACCGCCACATGTGAGACTTGTGGCTCCTGAGCCGCAGCGATAGGTTCATCATTGGCATGGTTAAGAATTATAAATCTATTGTAAATCAAAAACAAGGTCCAATATTAAAAATCAGCTTAAATTAAAGAAAAAAATTGCAGTACTAGTTTCGATAGTTTTTGAACTACCTTCTTCAGCTGCTAAGTGCAAATGAACCAAATAAAGGGTGAAGAAAGATAAGATAAGAAAATCTTATTGTATCTTAAAGATAAGAAAAGTTGGACTTAGCAGCTGAAGAAGGTAGCTCAAAAACTATTGAAACTAGTACTGCGAAACCTTTTTTTAAATTATGCTGATTCTTAATGTTGGACTTTGTTTCTGATTGTTATTTAGTGTGATATTTAAATTTAACTGTT